CACATGAAAGAAATCGTGTTGCATAAATAATGCTTTCACTTTTTTAAACTTAGCGCATCTTGTGTTTATAGAACTTTTTATTAAACAAGTATTTTTTAAACAAAAAACACAACCGACTTCAATTCGCATATATATACAAATTTAGGAATACGGGACGACGATAAAAAAAAAAATTTTGAAATCGGTTCACGCGGTCCAAAGTTATGCGGTGGCATACATAAAAGAAGAAAAAGTACTCCGAAGAATTGATAACCTCCCTTTTTTTGAAATTAGTTAAAAGAGTTATTTGTTAATTTTATGTAAATAAAATGCGATTTATGAAACTTACAATTTTTTTTATTACATACCTAGTGCACATAAAACTTGCATAAGTATATTTTAAAAAGCATATTATCTGAGGCAGTATTTTCTTAAAATATATACATACTTACCCTTTTACTTTTTGTTATGCGAAACCCTTCTCATCATTAGCAAAGTTATTACTAAAGCGATGAAACACTTATCTCTTTTGCCTGCCCTGAATGTGTTTTACTCCTTTGAAACTTTCAACTCAATTAGTCATTTAATTAATTCATTTGTTTGCAATTTACCCTCTTCAGCCAGCACAGCACACGCTTGCACTACCCCCACTTATACTTGAGAGCTCCTTAACACTTTGACAAAAATGCAACTTATGTTAAACCTTTAAGAAATCACCAAACCCACATTGTTTAATAAATTATTGTGGCAATATTTACAATAATATGTATAACATTGCTTGTGGCAAGTAAAGTATACCTTAATCTCGGCAAACATTTGTGTAGCTGGAATAATTTATTTATTATCCTTCTGAGTTGTGTACGGACGGGCAGATGGGTGGACCGCTGTCAGCCGCAGTAAAATTAAACAAGGCAAGCAAAAGAAAAGGCACTTTCTAAAAGATGCTGAGAACACACAAATTACACAACTTTTTACATACCTTATGCAGACAAAAATCCAGGTCAAACACGACTTTAAAGAAAAAACTAAATGCGTGGTGGCATTTGGAAAAATTTTCTTATCACTCGCAGCATAATTTCTTCTGTGGTTTTGTTTTCTTTCTAACGGCAGATTTCGTTTATTTTTAAATCCACCTGCGGATGCTATTGCGGACAAAATATTTCTTTTAGTTTAAACACTAAATCATCAAACCACTTGATTGTTGCAAGTGAAAGCAAAGTAAAGAAATGCAAACTAGATTGAAATATCTGCTTCGTACAACCATATACAAACGTACATAGACATAAAATCCATCATGAAAATTAAATGCTCTTAGCCTGTTTGAATAAGTACTAAATATACAGATTTTTGCAATTAAATATGTTTATATGTATGTAATTTTTGCAACCTTGCTACAACTTCAGGATATAAGTATTTATAGTCGGCCATGATTATTATTATTTTTATTGGACTTTACTGGTTTTGTTGTCTACGAATATAATGCCTACTTTTAATTTTGTTAAACCGCAAATGCTGTCGTAAGAGTAGAAAGTAGAAAAGCATTGCGGTCGAATGTTTGCAAATTACTTGAGAATTTTGCATAAAATCAACAAATAAAAACTATGAACGCAGAGAGCTGTGCGCAATAGACCAAATAGCTAGTTTTGGAGTGCAAAATTTTATTCAACTCTTGCAGTTTGTGGAAAACTAAAATTCAATTAACTTGCAGAGAAAAAATAAAATGCAAGTGGCCTGATAATGGGTATATTACTTCAAATGTGTCATAATCCAAAAACGACGAACTATTGAGTTGAGTATGGAAAAATTACTGCTACATCTTCTTTGGTGTTGTGTAAAAATTTCATGAAAGTATCGATTACCCACTATGTAGAACAAAATATGTGTTCAATTCGACTATGGGAGTGAATTCAAAACTTTAAAGCCGTTTTTCTCGCGCTTGGTTTTTTTTTTTTGAGTTATTACAAAATAGTTTAGATATATCATTTATGCAATCCTTTTTCGACTTGTAGCTTCATTTCTAGTAAGCTTCACTTTGCAAAATTTCGTATTAATCTTAATAGAATCTCAAGGACCTTAGAGTAGGTATCCAAATTCGTATTTGTATTCGGTTTGCTATTCGTTTTGGTAGTCGCCTACCGTTTCGTTTCCATGTTCGTATTCGTCTCCGTTATCGACTTCGTATTCGTTTGCGAATTCTTCTTCAAATATAGTCGTACTCGTCTACATACTCATTTTCGTCATGTTATCCTCGAAACGGCTTCATATTTTTGTTCATATTTCTTGTTCCTAACCCAACTGAATTGGTCCTCTTTTTTGTATTTGCCTTTGTATGCATCTTCGTATTCGTCTTCATATTCGTTTTTATCAACGATTTCGTCTTCACATTCAGCTTTATGTTCGTGCTGGCCCTCGTATTATTTTCCTCGTTTTAGACTTTGTTCTTGGTAAACAATTTCACCTTCCTTTTAGCCGCCGCCTTTGTCTTCATCTTCATCTTCGTTTTTGAGTTTGTATTTGTCTTCGTATACATATCGCTCCTCGTTTTTGTATTCATTTTCGAGCTCGGCGTCAGAAGATTTATTACGTCTCGCCAAAATTCCCATCAAAGCGAGATTTTTTAACATCTCGCTGATTTGAGCCCACGCTCGACTCGCACACCTGCTCACGGAGAGCATTCTTCAACATACCGCCACATGCGAGCAGTGTAATTATACATCTCGTTCATTAAGTACCGCCGCCGAAGGAGTAGTTGGATTTCAGCGAGCCTAAAAAAATAACTGGTACGATGAGGAGTAAAGAGAAGTTTCAGGGAAAAAGATGCTGCCTACGGGGTTTCGACATAACTTCCACCGAACCGTGACATAAGTTCCAGGGAAGTTATTTCGCGAAATTACTACCGTCGATCGATTTTTGGACCATGGAAGTAAAGTCTAACAATACTTCCAGAGATCTGATTAATGGAAGTTATGTCAGACATAATTGTTTATTAAATGAGCCGCTTAAAACGTTTTAAAAGTTTGTCAATGTTTCAAAATCCAAAAAGGATCTATATGAGATTGTTGGGTTTACCCCTTCTTCCACGGGATAAAATAATGGATGGATATAAGATTTTGGTACCACAGGCAATGAATTTCAATTGTTTTGCATTCACGCAGATAGTTTTCGAATATTTTCGAAGCTGTTGGTTAAAACTGGTAAGAGGTTCACACTCGTATGAAATACCATGTTCTTTTTTTTAATTTTGTGTTTTAGTTTTAGGAAATGTTGAATAAACTGTCTGTTTTCAGTTTAAAAAATTTGGAAAATATTATCCTCTTAACGAGTATTTCTTCCGTTTCCTTTCGCTTCTAATCCCAGAAGAGAAAGCTTTTTCCACCCAACATTTGCGATTTGTGAAAGATGGTTATCAGCCAACGGTAAAGAAAACAAACAAACTCCTCGGCGTGATTCTGAACTCGATAAGGCCTCCAAGTTATTGTTAGCCGACCGAATAAATTTCGAACAATTTTTATCGAAGGTGGCTTTAGAAAAGGTAATCGAGAAAACTTTATTAGAAAACGATGAATTGAGTACGAATTGAAATAAATCCATGCGATATTGTATTTATTTCTTGTGGTCATGTAATGTTATGCGAATTCTGTCATAATCCTTCACAGATTGAAAATTGCTGTGAATGTCAAGTAAATATTCAAAATGTTGTTGTTGATTTTGAGAGAGGGTGGCGCTCTCCCTCTCTGTGCAAGTTAAGACATGACATAACTTCCCCGAGTTTTCGTGGAAATCTTCTGGGAGTTATATAATGACAAAACTTTCATGAAAATCTTGTCTGATCCTCGTGGAAATTAAGTCTGAAATAACATCTACGGGCCCAAGGAAGATATGTCCGTGGACGATATGTCAGTTACCCCCGCCTGCAGGGCCGCGCTGCGATCGGCGCAACGCGAGCTATGTGGGACCGCTATAGGGAACTGAAGAGGCAAGTGAGACGTATTTGCCGCAATATAAAGAGAGAGGCCGAAATACGTGAGTACGAAGACCTCTAAATATTGGCCGACTTGAAAAATGCCTAAAAATTGTACCAGAGAGTTAGGCGACTTACGGAAGTTTTCAACACCAGGGCGCACTCTTGTAAGAACAATTTTGGCGATCTAGTGACTGATGTCCAGATCGTACTTAAATTATGGAGGGAACACTTTTCCACGCTACTGAATGGTTGCAGTACTGGCAGCTTTGGAAAGGATGAACCCGAGCCCTCGGTCCATGATGACGGACTCGATGTTCCACCGCCTGGCTATGATCCGCTACGAATAGCAATTACGTGACTGAAAAACAACAAAGCTGCTGGAGCTGACAGGCTACCAACTGAGCTATTTACATAAGTACGGGGCCGAGAAGCTGACAAGGTGTATGAACCAACTCGTATGCAGACTATGGTCAGATGACATAGACTTCATCGGTAATAAGAACCGCCAAGTCTGTTCTCCCTTTTTCCGGTAGTATTATTGGTAGCTAAAAAAAATTTTTGTACTTGAAGCTTTTAGTTTTAGGCAGTTACTGTAAAATAATCTATTGGGGAATTATAAATTCATAAACATTTTCAATTTATAAAGCAGTTAGAGTCTTCTTTATTTTTAACTTTTACATTCCTAGCAGAAGCGAAGCGGCCTGTCAACCACTTAAATTCAGTAACTAATATTTTAAAATTATTTATACATAACTTATCTGACAGTGAGTGAGCCGGCATGTGGTAGTGCAGATCCGCTAGAGAAAATGCAGAAATAAATGCCAACAACAGACGGCTTGACAGCTTGACGATTGGACAGATGTGCACAATTTTAGTTTGTATGAATATGTGAATGTGATTGCAAGTGCGATTGTAGCCTAACACAACTGAGTGAAGGACGATGTCTATTTGCTCATTTTATTTATGCAAAATTGTTATTGTTTTTACAAAAGTTATTGTTACAAATTTTGTTGACTTTCAACCAGCAAACAAGTAAAGCTATGAAATCTATCCCTAGGACTAATGGCAGTGGGCGACCAACACAGCTATAAGAACAACAATACAACAATGAAATGCGCTACCAACAAGCACAATCACTGCAAGCGGAGAGTCGGTAAAGCACTTGATCAACAACAGCAACAATAAGAACAAAAAACAAACAATAACAATCACACTTTATACAGGTAAAAAGGTAAACAATGGATGGATGAATGGTGCAGCGCGCAGCTGAATTGTGCCGTTGACAACGATAAGTGTGCGGCCAACAAGTTTGCAGAAGTTTAGCAAAAGTTTGTTATAGAATTACATAAAAACAAATCGTATGTATGTATGTATGTATGTATATGCAAGCTCTTTAAATCTCTCATCATCACAACAGCGTAAACGGTCAATGTTGCCAGGTACACGTGCAATGAATGGTATGTCGCCGGCGCTTTCGGATTGCCAATGTATATTGTATGTAGGTAGTTATGTTGTTTATGGGCTTGCAAACATAAAGCCATCGGCAAGCGAGCGGTAAATTGGCGTAGGCAAACTTTGCACATTAAAATTAAGAAGCGAAGGCGAAATCGTTTATTTACATATCTACAGATACTTGTATATGTATAAAATTTATATATATAAATATCTTCGCTAGTGAGGGCAGTGTGTAATGCAATAATTTATGGTACGAGTATAAGCGGAAACCCATCAATTTGTGCTTTAGAAAAAGGAAAGAAACTTTGGTAAGCATAGAATAGAAATTCAGCAATAGTTCGCCATAGGCTTATACGAAATGGGGCCCTCTTTCCATTTGGAGCACACTTCCAAAATGTCTGACTAAATAAATCATTAATTTTCCTTTGGATTGGCGGATGATTCAGTATTTAGCATTTTCTAAAAATTGCTTCCAGTTTCGGAAGAACTTCCAACGAAGCTTCCTGAAGCATGATTGGCTAAATTTTTTTAATTTCCGGCGATTTAAAGGGGAACACTTTGAAAATCTGCAATTCCACTTAACGTGCAGTAACTTCAGTTGTTTTTAGGCCGCTAACAGTTCACTGTGCTACACTAGCCGCGCCATCTACTGTAATTTAAACGCGTTTTAATTTTCACATACATGAAAATTGCTTAATATAACGTAATTAAAATAGAACAAACAAAATTTATTAATTTAAACCAACTAATTATATTCCAGCCGAAATTAGTTTGAGTACACAAAAAAAAACTTTGTGAAACAATGACAACAAATATCGCTCAAATTAATGGAGCTGCGCAATTTTAGGTAAAAATAATTAAAAGCAAAGTGGAAATATACTGAAAAAAATAATTGTATGTGATGCTAGTGGTTTGCGAATACTTTATAAAAAGGAATATATATTCTCGTGTATGTAGATATGTACATTAGGGTGGCTTTTCCAAAGAATTTTTATTTCCGTTGATAAAATTTTTAAATCTTTTTACTTTTGAGTTTAAAAACTTCTGGCATCAGAGGTGATTTTTTGGAAAAATATATTATAAAAACTGATTTTGTTTATAAAATACTGGATTCTTAGAAGTATTTGTGTCCTGGCCCAGCATACTACTATTTCCGAAATATTTTGGCGAAGTCTTACACCAAATTTCATAAAAAATAGAGAAGACTTAAATTGCTTTATAAATGGAAAATTTGTTATTTTATAAAGTTCTTTAACTTTTTTTTTGGTTTTTCATGAACAAGGCCATTTGAATATAAAAGGTTGTATAATTTCGATGGAAATTAGCATATATTTAAATTTTTTTTTTATGAAGAGTGGTGCACCTTAATGTGCTTATGTACATTAGAGTAACCTATATACATTAGAGTTTTCGCAAGGAAAAATATGAGCTTGAGAGTTAAAATAAGCATGAAGTTTCATTTCTTTTTAATATTCAGTAGCAATTTTATACAGAATGAGTCTTTATCTATGTCGCCAATCTTTATTTCAAATGTTTTTGCTAAGAAGAGATTGTTTTTGTGTTGCAGTTGTTTTGTTTTCTGTCGACAGTGTTTGACGCCTTGGAACAAGCGTTAGCAAGAAAATTCTGGCTAAAATAATAAAAAGACTTTCGTAAGACAAATGACATACTAGGCAGAAAGACTTTTGTTATTCTAGCACATCGTTGCTAAAGATAAAAAGGTGCCAAGTCCATTTTTTTCATAATTTAGTTTTTGATGCAGAATGGCACTACGAAACTACGTCGATTTTTCGTCTCAGAAACTTATCTTATCCATTTCATTTATTTTTTATTAATTTTTTTTTTAATAATCTGTGGTTATTGTTTTTTTTAAAGAATATTTTTAATTTCATTTAATTTTAAGGAACTTATTTTTTAAATTTTTTAGTTTTTCTTTGGTTTGTCCGTTATTTTTTTAATTTTTAGAATTTACCTTGTAAAAAAATATACATTTTTAAATTTTTTTTTGTTTAATTCTATTCTATTTTCAGTTTTGAATTTTATTGTTTAAATCAGATTTTTTTCGATTTAATCTAATTTTTAGAAACCTGTACTATTAATTTTTTTCTATTTCGTAATTTAATTTGTTTTTATCATTTTATTTACTTTTATTTCTTGATCTTTATTTTTTTTTAAATAAAAATGTATATTTTATTGTCATTTCAAAATTTTGAAAACTATGGTCGACTTCGTAATTTTCCTTGCTAGAAGTATGGATGCCGCACACGAAAGCACTCGAAATCACTGGATCTTTTTCTAAAAAACTTCATGCTCCTTTTCATTCCCAACCCCATATTTTTCAACACGCAAAATAGTGGCTTTCGAAGTTCGGTCTACTATGACCACTCTAATGAACATACTTACATATGCATATGTACATAGTATATGTATGCTTGCTACTCGTATAACAATTGCGCTAAATATTGATAATGAAAACATACAAATATTTCATATGCACAAACTTTTATAAAAGCCATGCTCGTACGCTCAAATATGTCCATTTACCATTTATGTACATAACAATATCAAATTTAAATATTAAAATTTATTTACCTTATCTAGACCATTAATTAGCAATTTGAGGTTATTGGTAGGGTTGCTGCTATTATTAAACAGAAAAGGTAAAATAAAAAATGTATAGTTACACATGAATTCATCGTAGTATGAGCTACTGAAAATTACACATTTAAATTCTATTTACAATTATGCAAGTATTTACGCGTTTACATATTTGTACGTATTTACAAACGAAAAAAAATTAGAATAATGTTAATTATAATATTGCAATTTACATTTAATATTAGAAGTAGGCAAAAGGCAGCTGGTTGACATTCCAAATATTTCTACAACAAAAATAAAATTTAGCACGGAGCATCAAATACATGGTTGTAAATAAAAGCTCGTAAATGTCTACATATACGCAAAGATAAATATGTGCTTTGACAAGTTGTGCAATAAACAAATTCAGTTGATACTTTTAAAAACATTAAACTTGTTAAAGTTTATATAATATTAGATATACATACATACAAGTTTTAAGGAATTTATTACGCACATAGTTTGTATCTATATATGTAGCATCGTTTAACGAATTCGAATTGAGCAACAATGTTTTCGTAAAATAAAATCAGATGATATTCTGTCCGGATTTTATGAATATCCGGATATTCAGATATATGATTAAAAAATGGTATTATCAGAGTTTATCAGAACAAAGAAAACGATGACTCATGTACGAAGAAAAATTAAAATTGAAATAAATAATAATAAAGTTGAAATATAAAATAATAATAAAGTACAGTTTTCCTGCAACAAAAAACTAATAAATCTACTTTTTCGAAACCAACTGAAATGTGAATATTTTTAAAAACAATGCAATATATTTTTCACTAGTTACTCATTGTGAGCACATATCGGCCATTTACTTCAATAATGGCATAAATAAAAAGAGCAAAACACGAGTAAAACGGCATTAAAGTTTTTATTTTACATCTACACTGACACACGCAAGTGTTCTCATGGTGATTTTTTTTTTAAATATTCACAACGCTTTTCAAGTTAATTTTTTTTGGTTATTTTTCTATAAGAATATTTTCCAAGCGTTAGTCAAAACCATAGAAATGAGAGTTTCAAACCTTATACGAAATGTAGGAAAAGGCATAAAATTTTCATTAAAATTTCGAGCTTTTTAAACTGAATCTCTACAACAGTTTTGTGTATGCAATTTTAGAGCCCATACAATTTTAGTCTCATGAAGTGCAAGTTTCAAGCGTATAAAAAATCGCGTTGATTTTTAATATATATATATTTTTTTGGCTGACGGATTTTCGCACTTTTTTTCCATATATTGATGTTACAAAGTAATAAAATTAATTAAAACTAAACAATTAGGTATTTGAAATGTATGTAATTACCTTGAACTGCATTAAATGTGCGAAATTAACAAGAAAAACCAGCTGTCAAAATGAGTTTTCAAAATACTTGGAATGAAAAATTGTACAATTAATTAACTGAAACCAAAAATGAGGTCACCAATAATTGCAATGTGCACAAAAAAGTGTAATAACCGCAGAAATTTAAGTACGTAGATATATGTACATACATACCTACATAGGTATATTTATGTATAAATGCCAAGTATTGTAGTGAATTTTTTTTTTTTATGTCAAATACATATGCCATTTGGTTTCTTTGATAAAGGATACACCTGCACATTTCGCTACTTATGTATGTGTGTAGCTAGACTGTAACTAATGGCGTTACTTGTAATCACCTGCCAACAAATGTAAGCACTTCAAGCATGATTGCCTAATTAAGTATTAATTTTGTAATTAACACTGTGCTAATTGCATATACCTAGTTTTAGTTTTAATGCATTAAACCTTATAAACATAAATATTACGCACAAAATTAAATAGACACGTAACTATTTAAGTATCTACATACATAGTAGCTTAAAATGTAAAAAAAAATCCATACGAACAATAAAAATGATGCTTTCTGTAATTTAAAATGGTTTTCGATTTATGTGCCAGTATTGCTAAATTTTAAGTATAGGCATAGGTTGAAAGTTCACCTTTTTGGAAATTTTATTATTGTCTAGAACGGTAACCAGATAAGCAATTCTGGTCGAGTCCAATAAAGCACGCTATGCTTGCTCCAAAATAAGTGACAAATAGACGAGAAAGGTTTACCAACAGGCTGCCTCCGAGGAGATGTTGCACGCTGTGGTGCCCGAGTGGAAAAAGTTAATTTTTAAT